GGGGGGGGGGGCAGTGCAGCAGCAGCAGCAACAGCAGCAGCAGAGGGAGTAAGAGCATCTGCCGAAGCAGAAACAGCAGCAGGAGCTGCTGCAGCAACAACAGCAGCAACAGCTGGAGACAGACTTATCACCATCATAACACATAAAAATCTATAAGAAGGAAAACTAATTAAAAGGAGACACTTTTGTGTCTCCTTTTAGGAAAATATAATTAAAAGGAGACACAAAAATGTCTCCTCCCCATCATGCAACATAAAATACTGTTGCAGGAGGGGGCCCCCTTGGGGGCCCCCCTACACCCTTTTGGGGGCCTCCCTTAGGGGCCCCTAAGGGAGGGAAAGAAAAAACACTAAAGAAAGGAAGCATTGACCTATTACGTGCCGTACACATATCGGCTGACGCAAAACAAAGCCCCCAAAAGATGCATGCATGCATGAATGCATGCATGCATGCATGCGTTCATCCCTACGTGCACAGTACACGTCAGCGTGAGTGCATGCGTGCTCAGAGTGCATGCACTCAACTTTGGGGCTTCCGGTTTTATAAGGTGTCACTTGCATGCGTGCATGCTGCATGCATGCAAGTTGCATACATGCGTGTTGCATGCATGCAAGGTCCATGCATTTTTTTGCGCCTGCAGCGCAGGGTGTCTTGCACGCAGCCCCCAAAACCGCAACGTAAATCCTGCTATGCCTTTAAGCGCAAACCCTAAACCCTAAACCCTCGAAGGATGTTGATGGAGCAAGCAGAAGGCTCCCTCTACTCCCCTCCACTCTCCTCGCCATCGTCCTCCGTCCCTGCACACCCACAAGCCCTAAACCATAAACCCTAAACCCTTCCTGTTTCCCCCCTTCAAATGCTAAACCCTAGACCCTTCCTGGCCCTGAACAACCGGTCCCAAACCCTACACCAGCGACTATGAAGCCCGTAACAAACCCTAAACTCTAAACCCTAGCGTGTCCAGGCTACTCACAATCCGCATGTGAGTGTGGGGCTGTTGCTTGCTGCATGCGCTTTTGTTTTTGTCTTTGTCTTTGGTACTCTTTTATTTTATTTGCTGCCTTTAATACCGATAAAGAGGAGCTCAGTATACACCCCAAATTCACGCCATCCTTGGAGGTACTGGGGCCCCCACACTCGACAGCAGCGGGGGGCCCCTGGGGACGGGCCACTCCCAAAGTCCCTTCCGCTGGGGCCCCGCCACTGGGGCCCTCGAGGGGCCTCCTCGAAGAATCTTCGCTAGGGAGGCTCCCCAAGGGGGGCCCCCTAGATCGCACCCCAACTGGAGGCTTTCCAGACGGGGAGCCCTCAGAGGGGGCCCGAGGGGGGCCCCCTAGTCGGCTGCTTCGAGGCAAATAGGGTACATAACTACAAGGGGAAACCACCTCCTCCAGTCTATCAAGCACTGCTTGGGTCTGTTGTTGCTGCTGCAGCTGTTGCTGCTGCTGCTGAAGTTGCCGCTGCTCTGGAGGGCTGTACCCGCGCGATTCCCTTTTTGCGCCTTGGGGAGACTTTGCTGCTGACGCAGCAGTAGCAGCAGGAGCAGATGCAGCAGCAACCGGAGCGGATGCAGCATGAGCAGCAGCAGGAACAGCAGCAACAGACGACCTTCTCCTTGCTGTTGGGCGCTGCTGAAAGGAGACACGTCTCTCCTGCTGCGGCACTCCACTGAAGCAGCAGCAGCAACAAACACAAAAGCAGCAGCAGATTCAGCAGCAGCAGCAACAACAGCATCAAAGCATGGAGGCACCAGCAGCAGGCTAGGTGAGTTTTGCTGCTGCTTATTCCTTGGGTTTGCTGCTTCTGCTCTCTGGGGTTTGGCGATTAGGGTTTAGGATTTAGGGTTTACGGTTTCTGCTTACCGGCTTGGAAGACTGTGCCTTGTTGGCAGATTCTGCTGCAGCTGCTGTTGCTGCAGAAGTTGCTTCTGTTGCAGTCGTTCCTTTTGTTTCTGCAGCAGCTGCTGCTGTTGCTGCTGATGCTGCTGTTGCTTCTGTTGTTGCTGCTGCTGAATTACCGTTTCTCCATTTCTCCCCAAAACTCGGTGCTGTTGTTGTTGTTGCTGCTGCTGTTTCTGCACCTGTTGCCTCTCTCTTTGCTGCTGCTGCTGCTGCTGCTTCTCTTCCTGTTGCTGCTGCTTCCTGGTGTATCTCCAGCATTCATTCCTTACAACACTCTTAACATGAGAGAAGCAGCAAACTTCTGCTTTTATTGTTCTCTGCAACACAACTCTCTCTGGTCTTCGTCGTAAGAACTGTGTGGGGCCCCTCTTACCTCGGGGGCCCACCTCTTGGGGGCCCCCATCGAAGGTACTAAAATCCCGATGGTGGCCCCCCTCCGGGATGCCCCAGTGCCCCCCATCTGGTGGGCCCTCATCATCTACGCTGCAAAATTCCTGAGAGTCTGTACCGAAATCTCCTGACATGCTCAGCCTGCTGCTGCTGCTGCTGCTGTATAGGCTGCTGCTGCTAGCAGCAGCAGGGAAGGAAGAGGAGATCCAAGGGGCCTCCTTGAGGATGCCGCGCTGCTGCAGCTGCTTCGCAATTGTTGGGACAATCTGCTGCTCTTGGGGCGGCAACGGCAATGTGTGACGCCTGTTGCTGCTGCTGCTGCTGCCACAGCTGCTGCTGTTGTTGCTGCTGTGGTTGTCACTCTGGTTGCTGGTGCTGTGGTAGCTGTCGCTGTGGTTATTGTTACTGTTATTGTTGCTGTTGTTGCTCTTATTGCTGTTAGTGCTGCTGCTGCGGGCGTTCGTGCTGCTGTCGCATGCACGGCTGCCTGCAGCATCCTCCGGGGCCTCCCCTCGGGGTTGCTGCTGCCTCCCTCGCTGCAGCGACTGAAGCCCGTGAAGGGGGCCCCCCTGGGCCCCCCCCTCAGGGGATTCCAGGGCCTCCCCCAAGGGGGGGCCTCTCTCTGAGTGTTGTTGGCATTGGGTACCGGCTCTAGAGCAGCGTGCCGGGGGCCCCCAACAAGAAGGGCCCCCCAAGGGAGATGCTTGCATCCAGCCACAAGCGCATGCAGCCGCAGCAGCACCGTGAACACACTGGTGCTGCTGCTGTTGCTGCTGCTGCTCCTTATAGAAGGAACTGTTGCTCTCCGGATACGGTGATGCAGCACCAGTTGTAGCAGCAGGTGCTGCTGCTGCTACTGACGCTGGAGATTGAAATTCTGCACATTCCATCTGCTGCTGCTGTTGCTGCTGCTGTTGCTGCAGTTGTTCCTGCTGCTGCTGCTGCTGCTCCGTATTATAAGTTGGGCAGCCCCATTGTGGTATGGGGGCCTCACCCAGCAATGGGGGCCCCGTTGAAAGAGCTGGGGCCCCTAAGGGGGCCCCTGATGATCGCGCATGCAAGAGATGTTCATTGAAACAACATGGCAGCTGCTCCTGCAGCAGCTGCTGCTGCTGTTGCTGCCCTTGTTGTTGCGTTCGCTGATACTGTTGAGGCTGTTGCTGCTGCAGCTGTTCCTGTTGCTCCTGCTGCTGTGTACCAGGGTATATGACTGATTGCTGCTGCTGTTGCTGCTGTTGCTGCTGTTGGTGCGTACCAGGGTGCTTGACTGGATACTGCTGCGGTTGCTGCTGCAGTTGTTGTTGCTGCTGCCGCTTAACCGGACGCCAGGCTGGTTGCTGCTGCTGTTGCTGCTGCTGCTGTTGCTGCTGTTGTTGTTGCTGCTCTGGAACTTGCTGCAGCAGGAGTGGGTTTTGAGGGGGCCCCTCTTTAAGTTTGTCCCTAAGGGGAACACCGCAAGGGGCCCCCCCTCTAAATGTAGCACCTTTTATACAGCAATCGGGTCCATGAGGTATTTGCTGCTGCTGCTGCTGTACCCTAAAAGACTGATGGGGGCCCTGGGGCCCCCCAGCAGCAGCTTCAAATTCCCACTTACAGGGAAACTGCAGAGGTCCTCTGCTGCTGCAGCTGCTGTTGTTGCTGCTGCTTCTACAGCAGCAACAGCAACATCGCCGCTCTGGAGGCAACTCTGCTGGTGCTTGCTGCAACTCTCCCGGCAGCAGCAGCAGCTTGAGGGCCTCCCTTACTGTTGTTGCTGCTGCTGGCGGCAGCAGCTGCAGCACCTGATGCACCGGCAGCTGCAGCAGCTGCTCCTCCCTCATCAATACCCTGCAGCAGCAAGAAGACTCAGGGCCCCCATGACCCTCAGAGGTGGCAACAAGCATAGTCCAAGGTTGCCCCCCAGAGGAGGTCACAACGGGGCCCCCAGGGGCCCCCCCAGGGGGCCCTCCATCAAGGTAAGAAGGGCCTTGGGGAGGCCTACTAGGAGGAGGAGGGCCCCTCAGGAGGCGCGTGGAGTTTATTGGTTGCATGTGGGGATTAGGGCTCCCCCCTGATGTGTTTGTGTCTTCTGTACCCTCAGGGGGGGGTCCCAGGGGGCCCATGTTAACTTGTGGCAGCCGATGCTGCAGCACATGACGGGGAAGAGGGTCCTGGGGGCCCCCCAGGCGTATCTGAGTCAACGCAGGGGACCCTTGGAGGTGCCCATACACCTCACGCTTCACAGAACCACCTCCACAATACGACGGGGGGCCCTCGGGGGGCTTCTCGGAGGGGGTCCCTGGGGGCCCCTCTGGGGGCCCCTCTGAGGGTTCCTCTGAAGGCCCTTCAGAAGGGAATTTGGGGGGGCCCCCAGAGGGCCCTGCAGTTGGTTCCTCAGAGGGCCCCTCGGAAGGAACTTCAGGGGGCCCCTCAGAGTCTCCCCTGGGGAGACCTTGGGGGGCCCCCGGCGGCGAGAAGTCTATGCATGCACACATCAAACAGAGAAAGAGCCGTCATGTCTGGGTAAGGCTGGAAGGATCCGTGCTGCTGGAGCTGCTGCTGTTGCTGCCGGTGTTGCAGTTGCTGCTGCTGGAGCCGTTGTTGTTGTTGCGGCTGCTGCTGCTGCTGCTACTGCTGCTGCTGCTACTTCTGCTGCTGCTGCTGAGACAATGTTGGAAGACAGTGGAAGGCAGTTTTAAGTAGGAAGGACGGGAGAGCAGCAGACAGGCAAACGAGCGGAGAAACAAACAGAACAACAGAACAACAGAACTGTGGCGAGCAACAACCTCGCTGTTGGGGTGTACATACACCTCAGGGTTTATTTTAATGGGCAAACAGTCTTTGTATCTTTTATTGAGTAAATAAAGAGATTTGCTGTTGTTGAGGTGCCGAAAAAACAATGAAAATAGCCTACACACTTGAGGTATATCTACACTGCCTCTGGCCGCCACACACCCGCCCGAGGTGCCTGTTTATCCTTTAAAAAGAATTAATTAAATTTGATTTTATTTTTTTCTTCTTTATTTTAATTTCCGCTTTCAGAAAAATGGTCTAAAGGGCACCTTTTGTTCGAGTCTTCTCTGTTGCTGCCGCTGCTTCTGCTGCTGCTCTCCAAGCCGCTTCACCTGCTGGCCCGGTCCGCTGCTGCTGTACACAGCAGCAGCACAGGCAGCAGTAGCAGCAGCAGCAAGGGCGTCCCTTGTTTTACACAAAAAATGATGGCAGAATAGATGGAAATCGTATATCTTCTAAAATTACCCCAAAGGTTTAGTCTCGCATAGTTGCTTCTGTTGCAGCAGCAGCAGCAGCAGCAGAGGGTACCAGCAGCTGCAGCAGCAGCAGCACGCTGCTGCTGCTGCTGCCACCACTACTGCGACTGGCGGATTCCATATAGGGAAAGAGGTGTCTTTGTAGATATTTTTGTTGTTCTTTGTATTTTAGCTGCTTTGTGGGGTCTTGAGGCGCTGCTGCTCCTGCTGCTGTTGTTGCTGCTGCTGCTGTTCCGGCGGTCCTCCTAAGACCGGAGGGCCCTCGATGCGGTCGCCAACAGCAGCAGCCGCAACACCAGCAACTGCAGCAGCAGCGCCCCCCAGCAGCAGCAACAGCTGCAGCATATTTCTTGCAGCATTTTCTTGATGTCTTTGTCGTAGAGTCAACTACAACAACGCGCAACAACAGCAGCAACAGCAGCAACCACAGCAGCAGCAGCAACACCACCACCAGCAGCAACAGAAGTAACATAGGCAACAACAGCAGCAGCAGCTCAGGGGTATATTAACAGAAAAAGCATAAGCACAGCAGAAGCAAACGCAACAACGCCGGAGGAGGAGCAGCAGCAACAACACTTGTTATTGTCTGCCAGTAGCAACAGCCGCTGCTGCTGCTGCTACTGTTGCTGCAACGGCTTCTAACACCGCCCGAGCAAGAGGTTCCCTGAGCAGCAGCAGCAGCAGCAACACAAAAGAACCCCTCCTAACAACAGCAGCAGCGGCAACAACTGAATCAGCAGCAGCAGCAGCAGCAGCGGCAAATGGTTCGTAGGTCGAGGGATAGTATCCCTGATCCTTGTCCCCCGCCTGATTCTTCTTGTGGGGATATTGAGGTGTCTCTGCAGCAGCAGCAGCAGCCACGCGCAAGTAGAGGAGAGAGGAAGGCTCCTGCTGCTGCTGCACCTGCTGCACCTGCTGCACCTGCTGCACCTGCTGCTGCTACTGCTGATATTTCTGTAGAGGAGCTAAGCGGAAGACAGACACATAGGAGAGGTTTCTCATCAATGGATAAAGCAACAGAACTGTCTCCTTCATGCAGCTGCAGCAGCAGTAACAGCAGCAACAGCAGCAAGAGCAGCAGCAGCAGCAGCAGCAGCAAGGAGAGCAATAACGGCAGTGATAGGAGCACCAGCAGCCGCGGCACCAATAGGGACTGCAGCAGTAGCAGCAAAAACAGCAGCAGCACAAGAAGTAGGAACAATGACAGCAGCAGCAACAACAACAACATTGGCAGCAGCAACAGCAACAGCAGC